ACAAAAGAACATATGCATTTTCCACTTTCATATAATTTTAAAAAGTGCCGTACAGCTAGACAATACAGTGTGTCCAGGCTAGCCGTATGTGACTCACGTACAGCTAGCACTTCTGATCATGGCTAGCCAATTCCTATTTTAAAGCCGATTTTCGGTGGTAAAGAGTCAACTCGGCCCTATACCAACTCGGCATGGGTCTACTCGGCACAGGTCAACTCGACCAACTTTTGAAAAAAAATCATATTAAACGTATTAAATTTTTATGATTACTTGCATGTTATCATGGACAGCTGTTTTAAATGAAAAATAAGAGATATCTGGTATGTTATTATATAATTGTACATTGTACTTCTGCGGAATTAAAGCAGCACGCCTCCAGATTCATGCTTATTTTCATGAAAATTTTGGAAATGTATTTGAATGTGTAATATTGTATAGTAACCAAAAAGAAGCAATTTTCACATTATCAATAGCACTTACAAACCACGTAAATTACCAAAAGTGGTCAAAATATGCATAAATAGCATTTACTGCGTTAGTAACGCAGTAGAAATATAGATGTAAATACTGAAAAATCAGTCATAAATCGCACATTATAAGCAAAATATTACTTGAATCTTGGAACTTTTCACTTTTCCTTACATCTTAGTAATTTTTTCTCAAATTTGATTTTATTGAAATATTTTGACTCATCTGGAGGCTGCTGATGTAGCTTTAATGTTTATTTAGATGAAATTTGTTATGTTTATTCTTGCAGATTCGTTAAAAATTATGATACAAATGTGTTTCCTTTGATGCTTTTGGCTTGTAAAGTAATCTTCAATAAAATATGAAATAAAAACTTGTTTATTTATTACATAAAATATTTTTAAATGTTTGTTCTTTATCTTATGGACATAAAACATCATGTAATGCACTTATTAACACGCAATGTATTTTTCAATGTTCCAAAGAGTGTAATAAGTTTTTATAACCCAAATCATTGAAAAATCTTTCATTACCAAAAGTGCAATTATAATCTAAGAAAACATATTTCCATGTTGGTGAATAAGTCCAGATATTAATTATGTGGTTCCAATAATAAAGAGTGAATATAAAATAAATTGAAAAATTGGCCGAGTTGGAAAAGGACCGAGCTGACTCGGGGGCCGAGTACGTTTTAGGGCTGAGCTGACCCGGATTCATTTTCGGTAATATTTCCAATCTTTGCACAATTTAATTCTTGCATTTATTCCCAAATTTTAACATAACATCGCTGAAGTTCTCAATTCCATGGGTATGGGTCATGTTCTCAAAATCCTGGGGGAAAAAAAACACCCTGAAACTGTCTTGGGAGTGAAACGTCTCAATAGTGAAAGGTGAATCAAACACTTGGTTTTCTACGCCTAAACATCAAAGTTCACTCAGAAAGGTTAAAGTCAACCGCATACAAGACACTTGTCAGGCCCCAGCTTGAGTACAGCTCCACAGTCTGGTCCCCCTACACAGGAACTCTTATTGACCAGATAGAGTTCGTCCAGAGAAGGGCTGCTAGGTGGGTCAAACATGTCTTTGGCCGTATGTCAAGTGTCACTGACATGTTGACTTCCCTTCAATGGAGGCGCCTTGACCTTCGGCGTATTGACCAACGCCTGATCATGTTTCACAACATCTTGCATGACCAGGTGGCTATCCCTTTCCCAAAGTATATCATCCCTCTTACAAGATCATCTAGAACATCCCATCTCCATGCATTCCAACAAGTCCAAACTAAAACTGATTACTATAAATATTCATTTTTCCCAAGAACAATAGTCCACTGGAATGCTTTACCACCTGATATCATAAACTTGTCTGGCCCCGAGTTCAGTCTGGCTGTAAGCCGGATTGAACATACGTCTCCCTAAAAAACCTATTCTGTTTTTAACAATATACTCATTTCCATTACTTTTATATTCTTTTATTTCAACTCTTTTATTAACATTCTTGTCAGTTGACGCGCGTCAAGTCTAGGTCCCCAGCAGGGGTTTGACTATGTGGAAGATAGATTGATATAGATCTTTGGCGAATTATGGTGGTTTCGTTGAAATACCGGTTCAGCGAACTTGATTTATGAAGAGGTGCGAAAGTGGTTTCGTCGACCTTATGTTATATAGTAATTAAAGGCAATGTAGACATGGTTCATATATATAATGTGTTTTTATCATCAATATTTTGTTATAATAGAAATGTTTAAATCAAAGTTTTATATCTCTAGAGTGGTGAATATTTTAAAGACTAAAAACAGATTGTTGATGTTTATGACATAGAAATCATGATGCATTCTCTTTAATAATATGCATGTGTCAATTGTTTATATAGAGAAGAATAAAGCATTTGTAATATGTGTTGTTTATAATAGTTTATTACGTACGTGGATTTTTTTTTGATTTTTTTTTGTGTGTGTATATTTAGATTATAAAATACATTGTTAATTCTTCCTCTTAAAGGTGTTTTTGTATATCTATCGATTTTATTCCAATTAAAAACATTGTTTCTTCTTTTTTCAGCTTTTACTATTTGTGTATGTAGTTTGACATAGATAATAAAATAATCTTTCCTTATTTTACAGACCTAACTTAATGTGTGATTGGTAATTTTTTGTAAATTTTGACACATTATTAGTTTTTACAGGTTGTAATTTTATACGTATATATATTTTTATGATGTTGTTTGTTCACTGAGATCTTTTGTAATGTGATATTCTTTTATGTAAATATTACTATTATACTAAAGAAAAGAATAAACAATAGGTTTAAATTTTCAATATCTTAGTATAATCACGGATTTATATTACAAGGATCGGACACTTTCGTTTAGCTTAAAGTCCTGTCGCGCGCATGCGCGGAATCGAATAAAGGTGGACAGAATGAGATGGCGGAACGCGCGGAGTGCGAAATATGACAGATTTTCACAAGAGTATGTGGTGTTATTGCAGCTTTGTGAAAAATTATACACATATGAATGTATTGATACAGTATTATTTTGTGTCGCTGGAGTATTAATATATGAAAATATGCCGATAGAGCGCTGCAACGCTTAGTTAAAAAGTACCTAATTTAAAAAATATTCGCCTATTGTTTAGGCATACTCTCTACACTTTGGCGCCCTTTTACTTCAAGCACGAATTATTACCATGATTCAGAATAAGATAATTATTTTTTACATGGTTTAATGGTGGCATTGCAAAAAAATGTTTCTTGATTGCTAAAAAACTTTTAAAGAAATTCATGTTTGAAATGTGTCTTTATTTCTGTGAATTATTTCCAAATGATTTGTACATTTTTTATTTGATTACCAGTGTATATTAGTATAAATATAGTAAATATTCTACTAATTCGTGTATTAAATATATTTTCAGATCATTCTAGACAAGCGTTCATATATAGATGAATTCATTAGATTGGCAAGGAAGAAACTTTTATTGGCATAGAGAACAGCTGTTTTATAAAATTATTTTTTTATTTTGAAACAGATTTTTTTCATAGTTATCCTTCACAATTCACGTCAAATGATTTATTTATCACATGTTTATTTTCATTATTTTTCAAAGAAAGGACTATACAAATATAGTTGTATATTTTCAATTTCATTTAAAAATGTTAATAAAGAAAATAGATTTAGATTGTATTTATATATACATGTATCCTCTTCAGAATCATTTTCTTACAACACATGCCAGGGATTGTAGTTAAAGACGGCGCACATACAAAATATACATTCAAATTCTATTTGTTTTTGAAGATTGAGTGTTGCAACTATCACATGTAACCTGGAAGTGAAAGTTTGAAAATAAAGTTTTTTAATTATCACTTACCCCCTTCAAAAGTAATTAAACATGAAAGAATTTAAGCGATGTGTAAAAAAATAATCAAAAGTTAGTTTTATTTCGCAAAATACTTACTCAAACTGTAAAGATTTTTATTGTTTTTCTAGCGTTACATTAAAAAGTATCATAAATATCTTTCTACAGGCATTCAAATAAAAAGAATAATTAAAATATACGGATTAAAATATACGAGTGACATTAAAAAGGCCGGAATCGAGACAGCCACACGAGAGAACTTTACTGTTACGATGATTGTCTACTTCACTGCACCGACATTTGAAAACAGATTTACAAAAAATAATAATGATATAAATGATGAATGAAATTTAAATATTCTATGAATATGGCAATATTGACAATCTCGGCAATATTTTGTACTAAAAAAAGTGAATAAATTTTCTTCACGTGTTGAGCGAATTGTAAAGGCTGCAATACATTACCCGTAAAACAATTGTGCATTGATAAATTTGACTACATAACCCAATAAATCTTAAATATTGCATCTTTGATCATCTGTGAATAACTTACATCGGCTTCTCTTTTATTTTGAAACTGAAATCAATATGGTACAGTAATTTTAAATTTCAAATACCTGCCTTTTGTATAAAAAATGTAAATTTACCGCGGATTTCGTCAAGTTAATTTTTTAATCGTCGTTGCGGACAGATAAACTGTACCTTTAAAAAATAAATTAGATATTTAAATTAAACAAGTATTTTTCTTCAAAATAAACTTGAAATTTCCAAAATCGGATAATAAATGGAAAAGCTGTATGGTATTTTGTTAAGTAGGTATCCGTTGCGAACGGGCATTTACACTTAGCGCCGGTAAATTATCGATCGATGTACCTTTATCGGGCGCACGACAAGATATTTAAGCATTTATATGGGGTTAACTTGAAGTGTCCGATCCTTGTAATATAAATCTGTGGTATAATTGCATGAAAACGTGTGATAAACCACACATTAAGACCCGAGATAATTGACATGCCCATTAGAACAATAGATATTGTTCGCACTATATAAATTAAGTTCGCCGAAACCACTACCTGTTTTATTATATAAGATCAGTTCGCCGAACAGGTAGTTCGACGAAACCACTCTCACCCATCTTTGGCACTCCACTGGCTCATTAAATCTCTTTGTACACTCACCTGGGGTCTTTGGGGTACTGACTCCGCTTCCCATTATTCTATTGGCAAACCATATATAATGAAAATATAAAATCTGTGGTAAAAATGTGGTAATTCAGTGTCCTAAAAACTTGGTTGTGACAGATTGTTTACGTTTTGCGTAGCCATGCATGTGCGTCATTAGAGTTCCTGTGTTGCATAATAATTGAATGTCGTGAGAATCACGATTACAAATAAAGGTTATTGACCATAAGGGGACGACCAAATATGTCACCAGAGTTCCGTTTCAAAATTCTTATTAAGTCTCATCTGATTATTTCAAATAAATAAATTAAATGTCTGTCATAGCAGCGAAAGGAAATAAAATAAAAAGAATCCGAAAAATAATCTACTGTAACACCGGCGGAACTAAGGAAGCTTTCCCACAGTGCAATTTCACATTTTTCAGATTTTCAATAATTTTGACAGCAAGAAAATGGCAAAGAACGGAGAGCCGGATTATGATCAGAATGGTGAAGAAGGAGAATGCAAAGTGAAGATCATATGCTTGGGAGACAGTGCTGTAGGCAAATCAAAGTAGGTTTTTGTTGATTCTAGTGCAAGGCCAAGGGACTGAAATGTTTCCTATTTTGATTTCATTGAAGGAATCACTCAATCAGCAATCAGTTAGATGAAAACGTGCTTTTTTATGTTTCTTTTCATTCAAACATAATATGAACAAGCTTAGCTTACCAAATTTCCCATTAGGGCAACAGAAATCCTTTAATGAAGGAAGTGGCTAGCCGTACGGGCCTGTACGTAGCCTGGAACCTAGTTCTGGCTTCCAAAACTTTATAAGCCGCTCTTTAACATTTTTGTTTTTCATCTGATGCGGCATTAAAGTTTTGGATTAGACCCGTTACGAAACCTAACCAGAATAACATAAGTTGGTTTATTCTTGTTTTTCACTTGCAAATATCCTCGAGTGACCAGTTTCGACGCCCTTAAGGATTGTTTTGTATGCGTCTATAAAAACGATGTGATTGTATTGTATAAAATGTTTTAACTTTTTAAAAAATCTCTAACCTTTATGAAATTGGTAAATTTAAGCTGTTTTCCAGCTATTCCTTTTCATAAACAATCCTACTTTCACTTCACCCAGGAGCGGCCATTTTAATTGAGAGTGCCCTAAAACGACGCTATTGATTGGCTAATTTATTTACACACGATAGGAGACTGTACACCATAATTCTTTTACTTACGTTGTTCACCAATATCAACAGCAAAGTATCAACAAGTGAAAACTAGTTTATCTTTTCTTTATTTCTTTCATAAATAAAGCATAATTATATGTGATAAATGCTATTGTTGTATTTTTACAGTGGTTTGGACGGTTTCCCTAGTCTGCTTGACCTCCTCTGCTGACAAAATATAGGTTGGAAAATAGCACCTTTACTTTCTTTGTCGAACCTGCAAAAACAAAATGATACATTTAGTGGAGCAACTAATGAAAATTTGGCAATTCATTCCATCCAAATAAGATAAACATATCCAATTAATTTTCAATTAACATTCATTTATCAATTAATAACCGTAAAAAAATCTACAACACGTACAGATTGCTTTAGGGTGAAAAAATGCGCCAAAAACAACACTATTGGGTAATTTTACTGCCACGTGACCTGAGAATAAGGAAATGAGGTCAGCATACAGGGAGGTATTTTCCAGCCGATTTTTTCAAGGAAAACATGACATAGTAAAGTGAGGGTCAAAAGTGCATTAGTGAAATCATACAAAAATCTCTTAAATAAGGTATAACATGCTAAATCTTACCTTTGGGTGTCTTATTTACTACATATTGTTACCTAACCAACTAGAAGATTCTCCTTTTGCTGTAGCGTAGTACAGAAATGACGTAAGCGGCCGCTTATATCAATTATGATGCAAAATATAAATGGCGTCGAAATAGGGCAGCGTAAAAACGGGTCACTCGACGATACACTTGACCCAATCAATTCTTGTGCATTTTACGATAAAACAATCATTTTAATATCATTCTATACCAATTAAAGTATCAAAATATTAATACCGTCATTAAAATTGCCTATTTAACTGTAAAATATCAATTTACGCCGAGTACAGTTGGCCATGACATTCAGGTGCCACGCGAGATCTCATATGACGTCATTCGCGGGAACAGATTTGAATAGAGTCGTGTACTATATTTAGAACATTGTGTTGACATGATTTCGATACTTTTATTCAAGATAATGTTTTTATTTATTTTCATTAATTTTTTAGTACTTAAATTCGATTGTATTGAATATAAAAGTCAGTAAATCACCTTTTTCAATATCTTAAAAAAAGTAATTTATAAAAATATTGGAGGCACCTGGGTTCATAAAGGTCAATCTCGTAATCACGTGATCAAACATTTTGGCAATATGGCGGCCAAGTGCCGAAAATTTTACCTGTCGGAAACAATTGGGTAGTTTATGTTCGTAATAAGATTTTTATTTGTCCATCCTTGGCTTATCAACAGATTATATATAGTTTTATAAAGGTATGCTTCACTTTACTTCATGGCATGTTCGATGAATAAATACGAGCGTGTCAGATTCCTGGCACGATTATTGGTGGACTTTCCCTATGGGGTTATCTTCAGCGTTCACGTCATGTCATAGTATATAAACGGGTACGCTGAAGACCTTAAGCTACCTGGAATCCCGTTGAATCGATCTATTTACCTATAAATCACAACTGCAGTTAAAAAAAATTAAATATCCCTGAATCTTTATTTTGTATCATTTATTTTGATCCTTTTGTCATAATATCTACATGGAAAACATCACTGATATATATAGTACTCCCCGCAGGTACCGCGTCCTTGCCCATTCCGATGTAATCAGAAAATGTGTTTCTTTACACACTGAACACCACCAATCGACTGTTTTCACCATTAAAGTGAAAGTGGTAGTGCTCCTTTTTTGAATTCGGATAAAAATTGTTAGAAATATTTTCATTTCAAATAATTTTCTGTCAATGATAGGTCAATCTAACGCTCCCCGTGAGTGTTGAAAATACTTCTTTATTGTACCCAATATTTACCAGTTAGGCTGATAATTTCATGTTCTGATAAGTAAAGGTTGTCTGCTGAAACTGTAGTGACGTCATATTATGTTGAAAAAAATTCTAATGAAGCCAAAAAGGGCCATCAATTTACATACCACGGTATCATAGTGCTCTCCGTTTAAGCTCCAGTTCAAAACATGGATGACTGATCATAGATATTTCTAATTTAAATCATTGAGTTATTCTATGAATGACATTTGTATTTTGAAGTCAAGATGCGACAGTTAAACACAATTCAATAAAATAGTAAATACAAGATCTTTTTATTTGTACATGTTGCTGGAAATAATAAGAACAATGGTACCATAGGGGACCATCCTACTTTTTAGCTTTGGAATATACGATTATTTACGGACATGTCAAACAGTTTGAAGAATTAGGTCACGCCATTATATCGATGCATTGTGAGAATCGCTCAGTTAGTCAAAGTTTGGGAAGCCTGACCCATCTTTATGCTAGATTTTTCAGTCAATTAGAATCAAAGTCGTCTGTTTTAAAATGTCAGCATAATTTTAAGAACTTTCAACAGACAGAAACTTTATGTGCTTTTAATAAGAACACACTATTTATAAGTCTATTTATTATCTACAAAGTCTGACGGTACTGGAAACATGTTTTTGGTCATTTTTTCGGCTCTAAACAAATGCGAAAGAATTTCGTGACACTGTTGTAAATGTTAGCAATCAGTAGCTAGTGCATTTTGCAAAAAAATCGAAAGATTTGTAAATAGATCGATACAATGAATAGCACGATACAATGGGGTTCCACTATACGGCTAGCGAAATGTGCTAGTCGTTTGGTAGTTCTGGCTTCCAAAACTGGCTTCCAAAACTTTATAAGCCGCTATTTAACATTTTTGTTTTTCATCTGATGAGGCATTAAAGTTTTGGATTAGAACCGTTACGAAACCTAACCAGAATAACATAAGTTGATTTAACCTTATTTTTCACTTGCAAATACACTTGACCCAATCAATTCTTGTGCATTTTACGATAAGACAATTATTTTAATATCGTTCTATACAAATTAAAGTATCAAAATATTAATACCGTCATTAAAATTGCCTATTTAACTGTAAAATATCAAGTACGCCGACTGCAGTCGGCCATGACATTTAGGTGCCATGTGAGACCTCGTATGACGTCATTCGCGGGAACCGATTGGAATAAAGTCCTGTACTATATTTAGAACATCTTTGTTGACATGATTTCGATATTTTTATTCAAGATAATGTTTTTATTCATTTTCATTTATTTTTTAGTACTTAAATATTATTTTATTGAATGCTAAAGTCAGTAAATCACCTTTTTCAATATCTTTAAAAAAAGTAATTTATAATAATATTGGAAGCACATGGGTTCATAAAGGTCAATCTCGTAATCACTTGGTCAAACATTTTGGCAATATGGCGGCCAAGTGCCGAAATTTTTACATCTCTGAAATTATTAGGTAGTTTATGTTCGTAATAAGATTTTTATTTGTCCATCCTTGGCTTATCAACAGATTATATATAGTTTTATCAAGGTATGCTTCACTTTACTTCATGGCATGTTTGATGAATGAATACGAGCGTGTCAGATTCCTGGCACGATTATTGGTGGACTTTCCCTACGGGGTTGTGTTTAGCGTTCACGTTATGTCATAGTATATAAACGGGTACGCTGAAGACCTTAAGCTAGTCGTTTGGTGTCGCTACGGCTAGCCAGGACACACTGAATTGTCTAGCTGTACGGCACTTTTAAAAATTATATGAAAGTCGAACATGCATATGTTATTTTATGTCTTTAAATGAGGATTTTAACATAGAATAAGTAGAACCAGCTATTGTCTCCGTTTGTTTACTTATTAGAGATTAATCGCCATGTTGGCTATGTACAATAAAGAAAGTTGAATATCGATCTTTGTCATCTCCAGACGGCGAGAAAAAAAGCGTTTAAATTAGTTACAGTTGATTAACATCAATTGAAATCGTTTAAGTTATTATTATAATAAATAATTTATATAATCCTTTTTTGTTCCAATAAGTTCAATTATCAACACCTTTAAAATGAAAACAGCACCGAAAATATTTATTGTTGGAATCTGTTGTATTATAGAACAGAATATATTAAATAATTGCGTCAATTATACTGACAGTAAAAGTTTGTCCACCAGTAAGGAAAGTTTTGTATGTTCCGTGAAACGCATTTTTAATTAACCCTTTACTTCATATAGTTGTGTTTTGACGGCTTTCCTGGGAATTGACCACATACTCTCGGTGTATTATTATTATTATTATTATTATTATTATTATCATCATTTGAATGTTTTTGTAGAGATTTCTAAATAAGTTTGATTTGTAGTAGTTAAAAAAATCTTTAAAAATTAAGTATTTTTTTCACAGACAAAAGCGTTAAACGGTTAATTAATAATTGACTTCAGAATGTCACACACACAAAATCTTATTTAATATTGTAAGTACATGT